CATATCTAGTTACAGTTTTGTAGTGATCTACCAACTCAGTTTTTGTTATCATTAAGAAAGAAGAATTATTAAACCAGAACCTGAAACATGTTGTTATGATGTTAAGATCTTCAGAGAACTAACCTTATTTCAGCTCATGTCCATACTGAAATTTGCAAGTACTTATTCTGGTGCCTGAATTTCCAGACATGGAAAATTTTCCACATTTGCTTTATAAACAGTTGGATATATTTTTCATACTTTACAGTGTTCGAATTTTGTGTTTGAAATCAATTTTCTTTTTGTAATGTTTCTGATGAAAAATAATTGTCACCAGTTGATTCAGTTAGGAATGAATTCGATCTTGTGCAGGAAATGACAGCATTAGTAATTGTGAACCTGCCAAGAACATGTGACATGGAATAACTCTGTGATTGAGTGCCAGGAATATTGACCTGTCAATATCAGGTCTGAAGTAATTCCAATGTCATTTAGAATGTGCATTTCGTGATTCATGGTATTAGATAATGTTTATATCACATGGTGGGTGTACTTCTTGAGTGTTATTGTGGAAAAACACTACAGTGCTATTACATTTTTTGATTTGAATACAGTCAGTTCGGTTTTTGAGTTACGTTTGTAAAGAAAGTTCTTTTTAATCTGGTTTGGTATTTGTCTATAAATCTGTGTAAAAGTTATCTATATTTGATAGTAATTGGAAGCCTGTTTAGGAATAGAATCAAATATTGATCATTTTAAAACAAACACAGACAAGTTTCTTATAGTCAGGTTAATTTGAATCCAATAGGAATTTCTGTTTCTTTCCCAGACTGGAATTATCTTGTGATTCCTGGAAAAGGTGGAATTTGTTGAATGAAAGATATTGATTTTTGTCTTTGAGTGCTGGAAAGTTCAAATTTTATTATGAAATGTCTTTAGTCTATGTTTTGAGATAATCTGAATAGATCTTTTAGGAACATTTTGAATTCAAATCATTGAGATAACATCGAAGATTTTTACTTTGTAATAGATAGAAAGCTAGTTGCCCTTCTAATTTATGTGTATCCAGGACACTGATAGCATTGCTTTGCACCATTCCAATTTTTAATCAGACGTCTGTGGTTTGTGCAATTCATCTTAACCTTATTTTTTTATGACATCACTTAGCAGCTTTTGATATAGTGACGTCATAAAACACTTAGTTTTAGTGGAATAGCATGAGCCACAGATGTCTGATTTTTGATTAGAATGTTACAAATTTACTTTATTTATTTTATCATTGTCCTGGATATATATAAAATATAAGTTGACATGTAATATTTTAATTTTTGGATTGAAAACAAAGCCATTTATTTTCATGTTTTCATGATTTTAGATGTAACTGTGTGAATTGTGTGATGGTTTATAAGGAATTTATGACAATGTAATGAAATAATGATAGAAACTAGACTTGTTAAATTAAATTAAATGTGTTACAACTAACTTGTTTTACAGTAGAATGGATAATGTGAAGATATTTTAACATTGTTAAAACTGGATAATTTTAACATGTCTTTCTCAACTTTCATGTGAAAACAATAGAAACATAAATAAATTTTGAATCTGAGTGTGAAATGTGTTTTGTGCATTCACAACTTGCAGTGATGTAATCTACACATTTTTCTGGATTTGACACGGCAGAGACATGACATGGAATAAAGTCAAGGTCATGATGACCTGAGAGCGCTGTAATTGGATTTTTAATCTCTACAGGGGATTACTGTGTCATCTTGGATTAAAATAATGAATCGTTATTCTTTATTTGCGTGTACGAAACCTGCTGATGATTTTATTTCGGAGATTCCTCATATAGATGGTAGGTTCTTACGATTAATCAATGTTTGAATTTTTTTATTTTTATATTCTGTATTTCATATTTCCTTAGTTTATTTCGTGTTGTAACTTGAATTTTAAACACAAACAAACAGTTTGAAAGAAATAACATTTCAATGTCATGATATATAAAAGACATTGTGAAAACTTCTAACTACTATATTTTTTTAGGGGAAGGGGTCAAATTGGCAAACATATTCACCAATTTGATCTCCCTTTCAACTGTATGAACATTACATGAGGAAATAATAAAATGTTTAATAAAATGACAATTAATGCTCAACAGAATATGTTAAGTATCTGGCCAGCATTTCAGAGCTGGTCACTTCAGAGGACTGGTCATTATGCGTCATCCTTGGACACTGAATCCCAGATTAAGTGATTTCAACCATTTCTAGATATTGATTGTACAGGAATGTTGAGTTTTTATCAATAACAAGATGTAGGAGTCGAGGAAACAGATGGACAGAGTTTAACATAATAAATAATTTTACTGTTATTATTGTGAATATTGATCATAATATTGATATATACAACACGTCTGGCAATATATATAACAATTTTTATTTCATCACATTTTTATTACCACTGCTATAACATTTTATGTACGACATTTATTTTGCATTCAAACTCTCTTTACTTCCTTTAAGATCACAATGATAAATATGACCAAAAAGTCACCAAGATGTCAAGATGAGGTGTCACTAAGGTTTATGTCCATTGATGGCTTATTTTAATGGAATTTTTATAAATTTTTTATGTGTTTTTGTTGAGTTGCAAAAAACTAAAGATGTCCAGATGAAAATTGGAAATTTGGTGCAAATTTATGCATTAGTGTCCCCGATACACTAAAAAAGAAATTTAGTAACCCTTAGCCTCTTAACAATCCATTATACATGTTGTCTTCATATAGAAAAACCTCAAAAACAGTACTGTTCAAAGCATTTAGACTTCAATTGACATAACTGTTTCAAAATATTTCAACTAATTTAATAAAAAAGTTTTAAAAGGTTTTTTTTATGTGTAAACTGAGATTTGCCAAATTACACAAATTATTGACTTCCAAAGAAATCAATATGTTGTAGTTCTCTAATTTAGGAGGTAATTTTCTATATATAGACTGGCGTTATCGCGGCATTGAGGTTATAAACAAGATCTTATGTCACATAAATCAAACAATAACCAGTACCAGGAAGGAAGCACTGGACTTTCAGCCAATTGGTCTATTTTCTCTGAGCTTGATATGGTAATTATCTGTCAACCAAAATATGATACAGAAACATTAGATTTGGATAGACTTCAATACTTCTTTTATGTCAATAAATTTCATTACTTTAATCTTTTTATTTTAAAGTTTTCCAAAAAAAGTATTCAAAAACAATCCCGGTTTAGTTTTACGAGAAATAATGGCGAAAATTTAGAAAATACTTTTTTTCATATACTTCAAAAACACAGCGTAAAAAACTCCGAACAAGTCAGGCCTTAAAAAAAGAAATAAAGCATTTACTAAAACAAAGAGTGATTTTCATTGTCCCAAAAAATACCTTGAAGCAACTGTTTAAATCACATCAAACACTGATCATATGTGACATGCTTTAAATTTGACCCCAAGGTCACAACGAGCATGTAAAAAACGGAAATATAAACATGGATGGAAATTATATGATTTTGATTTCCTTCATCCTGGTCAATAATAACATTGAACACATGGTCAGCATATTTAAAACTAAACTGAAAGTAGAAATGGTGACCATGTTGGAGTACAATTGTCTTGAACTCTTGACCTATGACCCTTCCATTGTTTAAAGGTTACATTTCTTGAAGATTAATTTTAGATGATGAGGGCTTGTTAGCACTGAAAGTTAATTATTTTTCATGCTTCATTAAATAGACTTCATTAAAAATAAAGGGAGTAAAAATTATCTTAGAGCTTTACAGTAAATTAAACATCAGCCTGTTTATTGTATTCAGAAGGATTTGTGCTAAAGTACTAATAAACAATTAGATTCAACTACACTAATATTGATTCATGTATAGATGTGCAAATTTTTTCTATATAAAGGCTACCTCAAAGATGTTGAACACTCTCATACAAATAATCATCCATTAAATACATTGCACAGATAGAACAATGTGCTTTGGGTGGCTCAGGTTCACCAGCAGAACTTAAGTGCGACTGGGTTTTCTTTTACTGTTAACAATTGCTGGATACACATACAACTGCAAATTTGCCTGGTTGTCAACCTGAACTGTTAAAATCTGGAACCATCCAGCATGCAGTTGGTCAATTTGTAGAGTCTTGCAACATATCTCACGAGTGGATACTTTTAATCGCTAGTTGACCAGAGACTATCTCTAGGATTTACATTTTGAGACTCTTGCTCATAACATTTGATACAGCCGACTTAAACAACTACTGGCTGGTCAGCATCAATCAGTGGTCAGCTGTTTGTGTCCAGCTGATTAAATATTGACTCATACCACTGTTTAAATATAGTTAAGTCAGGTATGGTGTAGAAACAGTTGTTAATATGTTATTATTTACGTGCTAAAAACATCGGCAGTAAATGTTAAAAGTATTTGGCTTTATTATGATAAACTTTGATAACAGGTGCTTGTTTTCTGATTGGTTCATTTTACTCATAGTATATAAAATACAAATACTTATCTTCATTACTTATATATATTATACTTTCTTTCTGAAATAAAAATAGAACACAACATACATCATTGCTTAACCATCAATCAAAAGTCAACTTTGATTGATATCAACAATATCTAGAAAGTTAACTACAAATACATCACAATCATAACACAATTTTATACAGAAATATGCCAAAGACCTAATTATAAAAAGACTTAACAAAGGTTCAAATACTTTGGCTCAATACAAACAAATACATGTATCAAAATACTGAGCAACACAACATAACATTATGGAATAACTAATACTGGATTTATTCAAAAAAATACATTGTCGTCAATTTTATTGTTTACAACTTTCCAAAAATATACAACATTTCAAAAAAAGTAGTATACCATAATATTGTTTTCAATCATTTAAATTGATATGGTCCCCAAAATGTAGAGTAAGGATAACCAAAAATATGTGATACCAACTGATACACAGAGTTGTTTCCAGTTAATAATTACTCTCTCCTTTTATCATTTCAGATATACGTCAACAATTATGCGATCAGTTAAAAGGATTAGAGGTGAAACTGGATGTCCAGACTGCCATAGTTTCCGAGTTACAGGAATTCTTCCGGAGAAGGGCTGAAGTAGAAATGGAATATTCTAAGAGTTTAGATAAATTGGTCAGACAGATGATCACTCGACATAGAGCTGAAAAACAGAAGTAAGTGTTTTGTAGTCATATTGGTCTAGCCAATTTAAACATGCAAAAACATGTGTTTTTGGGATTCTCCTGAATCTCCACCATCTGTGCCCTTTATTAATATATTACATTAATTCGTTTTTAGGTGAAAATTTCAGTAATTTTAAGTGATGTGATCCCACTGATTTGGATCCTTCCAGAAACATCTTCAATACTGGTTTGGTTCTCTGTTTTTCTACATGATTTTCCTTATTATAAAAGATATCTGATGTTACTCTTTAACTTGTCTGTTAAATAATATCATCCTCTTTCAAGGTTCTTCAAAATTTGTCTCAGTTTGAAATTGATAGACATTTGGTATAGGAATCAGAGAGGTTTGAAAATATACACAATGAACAAAAGACTTCACAAGTCTTGATCAGACATATTGATGGAGTCTGAACTCTATTCTCATAAGAATGAACGCCAATCATTTGGAAAGTGCTCAATGATGAGATTTTGTAATGGTAAGAAATTGTCAAGAAATATCGGAAATTAAATCATAGTGAGAAGAAAGAGCCTAGTAATCTAGTCTACTACTTCACAACCAATCAGTTATATCTATTAGAGTATTAACTAGTAGGTTGTCGTGGTTACTAAAAGTATATTGATTGGGTCGTTTGGATGGACGTTAGTTTAGCTCTTATCAGTTGCCAGTAACATTCTATTAACTCTGGGTATTGTCACTTCATCACATGGTCAATACTTCATATCTTAGATTGCCAAATTTCCTATCCATGATTCTTTTTTTGCAAATTGTTCAGACTAACTAAGCTGATTTATAAAGTATTGACAAGATTGTTTGCTATTAAATGACAATAGCTTACTTAAGTTGGAGACATTAACAGTAATCTGGATTATCATAAAAATTGGCAATATGGATAGAGCTCATTCCTGTCTTTGGATCACTTTCAAAACATTTGTACAGAAATATCTGCTTGCAGATGAAGTCAATTGCTCTCCTTGATTTGATGGCCTTATATTGATTATTGAAAACTAGAAACTTAACTCATTTATGCTGAAAACTTTGCTGTCCTCTGTCAAAGCTATATATAAAATGACAATATGAAAGCTAACAAGTGTATATTTGATCAAGGTTATCATATTACTGTGTATATTAGTCTACAAGTACTGTGGTTATTGATATAACACTGTTAACAAAAGAATGATATTATCAATAACAATAGACATATTGACAAAATGAATACATCTTTATCACTTTTAATCTGTTACATTACTGATGATATTTACATTCTAAATTAGTTTTTACTACAAAATTTCGAATTTGGATATTTCTATGGCATTCAGTGCAGATTTATGACGTGAATGTTTTGAGTTTATCTTATATATCTTTAAAGAATAATCAATTTGCCCAGATATTGTGAAGAATGTAATGACCCTGTGACATCACTAAGGCGTTCTTTGTAAGAACTTCCTACTGCGCTGCTACAGCAATCGAAAATTAGTTCAGAGCATGTTAAGGTCACCATAAGCATGGTTTTAGCGTGTAAGATTGCAAATGGTCAAAGTCCTGTGTGACCAGACTATAATGAATAGGATTTTTTCATTTGATAATCACATGATCAAGTAGGCAACTGTGGTCTAACATTGTCATTTCAATCTGTCTTTCAGACAAGAACAATGGGCTACATTCTCTACCTACGCCTGCTGGAAACATCTCCTGGGTATCACACGTAAACAGAGTCAAGATCATCAGAAAATTGGTGAAATTTATAATAATCAGATGATGACCAGATTAACAGAAATTGTAGATAATTCACAGAGAATATTCAAAAAGGTAAGTGTTTAGCATCTTCACATTTTTCCTCTTGGTTTCCATCGTCAGTGATGCAGGTCAGATGGATGTACAGGGAAGAAGTTTATCATGAGACAATAAAGACCTTGTGTGTTATAATAGCAAACTAAGATTATCAAGGATCCTTTTTAAAGGATGTTTGTTGCAAATTCACAAGTCCAGACTGTTTTTGCAGCACTGTGCACTGTTTATTTAGATCATTAGATTATTTAGAGGTTAATTTATTCTATTTATATGTCATTCTTAAAGCCAAATAGTAAAAATTCAAATTACTCCATTTCCATCGCTAGATATGTCATTTAACTTGACACTTCATGACCTTTTTCGAACTGTATATTTTTTGTGATACTTCTATTAACTGTATATAAAGCCATCTTGAAATTCTTATTTCCTGACAGAACATTATCAATATAGTTATGTTTGCTTTTGAGACCCCCCAATCTAGTTATGATGATCACTTTATGCTATGCTAAACGAAGCAATCAAAAAATTTCCAAATCCCTTGTCATATAGGGACCGGAGTTTGTCAACCTAAAGGGGCTGAGTGCAAAATTTTCATTCTAAAAAAACAAATTGGTGTTTATTTTAGATTCTAGTTTTCATTCAATTGAGCACATAACCAACCTACTTAATGAATCAGACTGCACCTTTAATATTGATCTATAGCAATTCAGAGGAACTGAATTTCTGACAACTTCTATCTCTAGAAAGCTGTTATATTGCATAAGTTTAATTTGTATTTACAGTGTCGTGATATCGGTGCTGAATCTCACGCTGACATGTTAAAAGCATTAAATGAATTACAAAGTGTAAGTACCATGTCAATGACAACTTAAATATTTTAGACTGCTGCTAGCTTCTGTTACTGGTTTACTACCAATATTCAATAAAGATTTCTGAAGCAAAAAAGTATAACTAATATGTAGATGCTAACCATTGCAATATATGTAGGGAATATTCTTAAACTGTGATTCTCAGCAAAATATTTCTTCTGTAGCTTCTATTCATTTTGGATTATGTTTTATTTACCTTACTTCTGAAGCTTCTACTCCCCTATTTCAATTAACCTGCAATACATATCTCTGGCTTTTCACTGCTAAAATAGTGCTCAATATTGTAGAGCGATATAGAAATATTAAAACAAAACTTGAATCATGTTGTTACTCAGAGTTGCATGTTGTACAATCTTCAGACAACTGACCCATTTCATATCTGGTTTGTGATACAACTGAGATTAAAATATTGTATACTATTTTAAAGGCAATGAAAACATATCATGCCTACCAATCAGAGAGTAAACAAGCAGAACAGAAGTTACGGAATGTGGAATCGCAGAAAAATAAAGTAGAACAACAGTTAACTGGTAAAAATACATCCAGTAGGAAATTGAAAGGCTTGGAACGACAGGCAGAAAAGGTAAGATTGTGTCACTGTTGGACTTATACTTAAATGGAGAGATTCACTGTTCATTTGACCAATTGTCCCTGAATCAAATTTTTTGTAGTTTATCTTATCAGTAATAGTGTCATCAGCTCACCTTCCAAATTTAAGCCTTCAAATCCATGTGTATCCAGAATTATCCGCATTTGAAAGTTAAAAACACGACTCATCTTTTCTTGAGACTTTTCTGTAAGACATAGAAATAGAAAGTGAAATCTCTTGTTTGACCCCCTGAAAATAATGAACCACAGCCAGTAGCTGCTGTCCCTAAAAAACATAAGATGTAAACTTATTATTTCCAGAAACATTTTTGAATGTTTTATGGCTACATCTCTTAAAAAACGTTCTAAACCTTAACCTAGGAAATTTCTTTGATAGCACTAAAATTAAGATTATTAAGTGTTAGAATCACATCAAGGTCAAATCGGTATTATTTTTCTTGAGAAAGTGCTAGTTTTACAGAAGATGACTCAGAAGACATATATTACAAAGTTTATCTATAGAAACAGATGTTTAGTTTTAATGATATTTTTAGTGTTTTTTGATATTTTTATCAGATATATTCCAGGTATCACATTATCATTCTTGTTTTAGTATTTATTTATATTCAAAATAAACATTTAAATGAAAATATGAAATAATTTTGCTATAAATGTTGTTAATAATTTTTATGAAATAATTCAACTTTGTGTTGATCATACATTAAAGATACAAGAAGCTTTGAACTTTCAAGTAATGACGTTTCCTTTTGATGCATTACTTGATTGGGACATTCAAGAATTTTTCATTGGACTATATTTAACATTTTTTTCTCAGAACTTTTGTGATATTGGTATTTATAAGAACATGTACTCAAGTTTGGGAATTGGGAATGAAACCCATACAAAACTTACCTTTAAGGACCAATGAATTCAAATGATAAAAATACAAAATCTGAGATCATATTTCCTTTACCTACATCTATCCATGAAGGAACTTTTAATGGTTTATTGCAATTTCTTTGATAAGTAATCTAAGGTTATCATAATATTACTGTTAGATGAGTGTATCTCAAACCTCACCTGTCTTTAATGTTCAGCTTGATAACGTTATGAGCCAGTTATAAGATCTTTTTGATAAATTTTGGTTGGAAAATTTGAAATTTATAGCCAGTGTTATCTGTGAATTTAGTACCTAAAACTAGTGTGATTTCCTTATGGTCATTTTTATGGTCTTTTTAAAAATTTAATCTTGATTCAGTTATGATAAATCTATTTCCTTATGAGTTGTTAAAAGAGCAGGTTTTACAAATGATCATACCTTCATAACAGACCTTTTAAAAATAATAAGAAAATAATATAAACGTGGTACAGTCCTATGTATTTAATGTGTCAATTAGAATCTTAATGTGTCAAGTACAATCCTTGATGTGCCAAGTAGAATCCTTATTCATCAAGTAAAATCCTTGATGTACCATGTATGTATCAAGTAGAATCTTTATGTGTCTATTTAAATCTTGAATGTGTCAATTAGAATATTTACATGTCAAGTAGAATCCTTAATGTGTCAAGTAGAATCCTTAATGTGTCAAGTAGAATCCTTGATGTGCCAAGTATAATCTTTGATGTGCCAAGTATAATCCTTATGCATCAAGTAAAATCCTTGATGTGCCAAGTAGAATCCTTATATATCAAGTAGAATCTTTGTGTCAATTAAAATCCTTAATGTGTCAAGTAGAATCCTAATGTGTTTTTTTATGGGCTTGTTGGACACATTATGTTAACTGTTGCTTATGATTTGTACTGAGCATTGAGCAAATAGAAGGTAAATTTCCATTTAAATTGTTGCTCAATAAGAAAACACTTCAGATTAGTTGATAAAATATAATTTGAATCTATTTTCAGCGTCAAGCCAAGTATTCTGATAATAAATTAAAAGCATTGAAAGCTCGTAATGAGTATTTGTTATCAATAGAAGCAGCTAATGCAGCCATCAGTAAATATTTCTCAGATGATATTTCAGATCTCATGGATGTAAGTTTTTTTTATTCTTCATCGTTTTGAAATATTTTTTTAAGATGTAACACTGATTCAACATGAAATTCAAATAGCGGTACAGCTATAGGGGGTCCAGTTGATCAATTGGGTCTATGTAATACCTACTGTTTTTTTTAGCCCTGTTTCCCCCTGTCAATGGCTTATGTCAAATTTGGAACTCATAAAGAGTAAGCTTGATATATCATTACATACTAAATGACGTTGCCAGTCCCCTTTACCCCAATCGGATTCAGAAAAGCAGGACATGATGCTCATTCATTTCAATTTACTATATTGAAAGTATTTCAGTATCAAATTTTACACACATATACCCAAGCTTTCCCTTAACAAACATATTCCATGAAAGTTATTAAAGTCATTTTGATCTAATTACTATTTCAAGTAACTGTTTTCTCTATCTATTACAGTGTATGGATTTTGGTTATCATAATTCCTGTGGACGTTCAATGATGATGTATCTATCTGTTCATGAACATTTAAAAAATACCCATCAAACAGCTATAGATTCTTTAAATAAATGTATATCTGATCTCGACTCGCGGGCTGATAAACAGAAATTCATGGAACTAAATAATTCAGTTTTTATGTTGCCCAAAAAATTTGAATTTCAACCTTTTAAAGGTGATGAGGTAAGTAAAACTGCAAATTTGTTAAAATATAAATATTAAGGCAAATATCTTGATGTACAGAGCACTGTTCCTAAAAAAAATTGACATACCCACAACAAATTTGATCTTTTGAGAAACTAGTTCTCAGGAAAGTCTTCAGAGTTCATGAAAGCCATGTGTATTTACTATGGATATATTCAAGGGCGTATCTAGAAAATGCCTGGGAGATGAGAGATGTCTCTCCGAAGCGAGGCTGGCTACTGGGGGCTTCTACAAATTTAGAATTTAAAGGGCCTAATTTTACATTCAAAATAAGACCTATCACAGGCCGGTGGAACTACCCCTGGATATGTTCACAATAACATTATATTCAGTTTTTACATAAAACAATTGAAATTTATGTAATAGCCAGTTTTGTTTGCTTGATCTTTCATCATTTGCTTTTGGTTTTAGGTTCGTCAAATTAGTGCTCAGAAACCAGTTCAAGAAGATTTAGTTGGTCGTTATCAAGGTATCTGTGATAGGTTAGACTGTCTGAAAGTAGAAAATGATGAGGTAGGCAATATATATATATTCATACCAGGAATAGGTGAAAATGGTGCTAGTATTTGAAATGTTCCTATTTAATGTATATTATGTATTAGATGTAGCATAGTTAGATAGAGCATTGTCATTTGCTTGGTTAAGTCAAACGAATGGTTGTCATGGGTTCTAATATAGGTAGGCGTTTGGTAATCTGGTGACCTTAAATAAGCCTGTTTTGCCTCATTATTTCTGTCAACCCAGATGTAAATGGGTAAGGATATTCAAAGAAAGTTCTTTTTCCAGAGGTTTGGTCAAGGACCAGTTGATAGACAGGATCATTTAAACCTTAGTTGTTGATTGACAATATTAATTTGACACCATGACAGATTGGTTTTAGTGGAAATCAGTATATGTAAATAAAATGAATTATGTTATTTGATGTGTGTATTGTAGATTTGGAAGACATTAGAACTAACAGAGAAAGCTCTAGTTGATGCCAGTCAAGATAAAGATTATGATATTACCAAGTGTTTTATAGAAGATAATCCTCCAGTCAAATCACCCCAGGAATCAGCCAAACAGAAAGCTGATATGTTAGAAACAGAGAGTTATTATTTATCTGTAAGTCTCTATAGTTAGTAATTTTAAGGTGTTCACAAGGTTATTTCTGTTAACTTGGATTGTTGACTGATGTACACACTTATAACATTTTCAGTAAGTTAGGTAACATATTGAGAATATAAATTCATATAACATGTTTCTGAAATAATTACTGAATAATGAAGATCAATTTTGATGAAAATCCCATGATCTATGTGAAGTGATGTAAACAAAACTGGCAGACACCATCAAGGAATGGTAACAATTTGCCAAGGATGTTATTGAAATGTTACGATGATGTTTTTTTTAACATGTTATCAAAAATGTTATCAGTGTTTACTTTACTTTTACTCATCTTGGTCTGGGCTTATATATATATTTATTATATGCAAAATTGAACAATTCACTTGAAATTTAAGTCATATTATTTATTTGTAAGTCTGTTTCACTTCATTTGAAATGTTATTAATTTTGATTTTAGAAATTCCGAGAGTATACATTAAGTTGTAATCGGTTATCACGTCTACAAGCTAAACAGTCAGCCATACAGAAAGCTCTTGGTGATAATGTTCTATCTCCGTTTGAAAAATCAAACTCTCTAAGCAGGTAAGATCATTTGTTTGTTTAATAGTAAAAAGTGTGGGACCTGTATCATACAATGAAATGCATCTCAATGAAAATTCGGCCAAAAAATGTCAAGGGTGATCCTAGAATACAAAAGAGTTTGGTTTGTCCTAGAATATATAAAGAATGTTTCTTCTTTCATGACACTCATTAAACAAATTAGGTTCAGGGTAGTATTTGATCAAAGAAGTTTTTGCACTGCATAAACAAGAGCAGCTTATATTTATATGCCCACATGAAATGAGGCCATCACCCATTTCCATCCGTCCGTCCGTCCGCAATTACACGTAAACACACTAGAAGGCACAATTATTAACAGATTTTGACAAAACTTGGTGTGAATGTTTGTAGTCCCCCAAAGGTGATCCCTATCAAAAATCAGAAAAATTGAAAAATATTCAGTTCTTAAAAACGCATTCACGTTTTAGCCTGTAAACACTCTAGAAGGCCCAGATTTTGACGAAACTTGGTAATATTATACAGTATCGCCCCAAAAAGTTCAAAAGAATATTTCATACTGGTAATGGTTACTGTACTGCCAAATATTTTTGCTTTACTAAAGTAACAAACTCTTTATTTTTGATCAAGTATTAATAAAATATATGTTGAATATTCCAGGCCCCCATCATTGCCACCAAAACCTATCAAACGTAGACTAGGACGAACACCTAATGTAGGACAACCTAAGTTATTTGGTGGAAGTTTAGAGGAGTATATTGAAGCTACAGGACAAGAAATACCATTAATTATTAAGAGTTGTATACGAGTTATTAATCTATATGGTTTACATCATCAAGGGATATTCCGTGTTTCTGGTTCTATTGTAGAAATCAATGGTTTTAAAGCTACTTTTGAAAATGGTAAGTGGTAAAACCTTTATTTATATAGTGTTTCTTTCAACAAAATATAATACTCAAAACTTATTACAAAGAAAGTTTGAATTCTGTTCATAAATGAAAAGTAAAAGGCTTGCCTCTTGATCCATCTGTTTTTGAAAACCAATCTTTTCATTGTGAAAAAATTTCATTCATATTTGTGCGAGAGTTCAGAAATGATTTTGTTGATTGAAAATTTCATTTATTGTCTTGAAACCAATAAGAAACATAGCTGTATAATATTTTAACTCATCTGTTTGTAGGTGAAGATCCTCTGTTAGATATGGTAGATGCTAGTGATATTAATTCTGTGGGAGGAGTTTTAAAACTTTATTTCCGAGAATTACGAGAACCATTATTCCCTCTACATTTATTTGATGAACTTGTTAACTGTTCACGTAAGTCTTCATCATTGATTATAATTTCATATTTGTTCAAATCAAGAAAAAAAGTCTTGGATATGTGATAACTATTTTTCTAATGTGACTGTTTAATGTACATTTATACAGCCAATTGGATAGATGTATATTAATACAGCAAATTGAATAAGCATCTTCATATTATCAAACTATTTCAAACTGTGTCTAATACCTTGACATAAATAGTCACTTTTCTTGTATCACAGAAGTTTGTATATGCTACAATTTGATTGTTTTGTACACTAGCTACTACAATATGGATCTTATTCTGGTAGGCTTGTTTCATCAATAATTCCTGTAATTTGATGGTGTCTGTGCTTCATTTCACAGTACTTATACTGTCAATTGATTGTTTGATTATAAATATGTTGTACTGTATATTTACAGGGGAGGAAGATATAACAGCTCGTGTAGAAAGAATCAAATATTTAATTTCAACTTTACCTAGAGCTGTTATAATAGTTATGAGATATCTTTTTGCTCATTTAAATCAGTAAGTTACATAATTATTATTTTTATTTTGAAATAAAGTTTGGAAATTTAGTTTGCATTTTATATAAGCAATTTTTTGTAAGGATACCTTATAGGTCCACCTTTATCATGTCTTGGCATTTATCTTTCCTTGGATTATCTTCACCCAATTGTAGTTGAATTTACTGGAAATATGTGGAAAGATGACATGCCAACCAAGATTAGAACCCTGGATTATCATTGTTCAATATAATCCAGCAAGTGGTTATGTAATGATTGCAACACTTCAACTGACTTGGCTACAACACATCATATAAAAACTTTCAAATTTAAATCAATAAGAGCATTTCTTATTATACAAGTATTATTATTTCAGTATATCGGAGTATAGTGATGAATCTATGATGGATCCCTATAATCTAGCTATATGCTTTGGACCAACTTTATTACCTATACCACCAGATCGTGATCAGGTATCATATCAGAGTAGTGTTAATGAGATCATTAAAACTATTATTATATATCAAGAAGATATCTTCCCTAATGATGGTGGTGAGGTATATGAGAAGTGTATTGTAGAGGGAAAGTAAGTACAGATAACTCTTGTAGATATTTCTCAGATTGTAAAGATTTTCAGAAATATGTTCATTGTGAAGCAGTATAGAAATATGACAGTTATATCTTGACTGTCAGGGCTTGTGATTGATCATATTTTAGTTAAAATCTTCAGGGTAAACTGATTACAAATAAGGTTCTAGGCCGAATTATGACTGATATCCTTCACAAATAACATAAGGTACAAAGGTCATAGGGGTAAAAACTCATTTCATGTATCTATACCGTGTATCTATGTGTATTGTAGAGAGAAAGATGATACATTAGATGAAGATGATGAAACATGTTCTACACCTAGTGATGAAGATGGTATGTACTTGTATTATATAATATACTATGAACATTTCCTTTAAACTCTTTGATCTTTTGATTTCTGATATCTCTATATTTTATATAATGATAACTGTTATATTATGATTAAAGAACATTATTTTATAGTGATAAACATTGTTATCTTGTACTTAAAGGAGTACTACCTCTTAGAATTTAAATTCTCAAACATGGCCATTAATTTCTTTATCTTCACACGTAATGTTCCATAACTTCCATTTGTATTTACGAATATAAGTTGTTTATTTTATATTCCAATAAGTAAAACTATATAGATGACCTTTTCATCTTATTTTCTTCAATTCTTTTCCTATATAGGATCTATTTTCGGTAAGACTCAAGGATACTGTTTCTATTTATTCCTTGCATGTTATATTATTTTGAGTTAATTTTTATTTGCGCCTTTTATCCAAGTTTTATAATAAACTATATAATTGTGAAGGTTTTATTATATACAGTTAACATAAATGTAATATTAATTTGAAAAAAAATAGAAATTAAAATGAAAACAATATTGTTAACGTACTTAAAATTATATTAAATAAAGTTAATTGAAACAACTTTAAAAAGTCAAAATTATATAAATTTTTTCTTTAGTGACAGATACGGAGGATAGCTCATGATTCCAAATAAAAAGTATATTAGGTTTTTTGGTATTTCCTGGCTTTTAGATTTTGGAATGAAATATTGTGGATAAGTTTGGATTGGATTTGAGTGAAATTTAAAATTACTGGTTGTGATTTTGTTTAACCTTAGGGGTATAGAAGTAAAATTTTACACTTGGTTAGTTATCTTCTTGGAGACGGAACTTTTTCCAAGGGTTACTTTAACCATGAAATATTTCTATCTAGTGGGTATGTCTATGAAATGAGAAGGGGCTACAGAATGTTCTTTCCCTATGTATAGTGATGAAACCAAATTTGATAATGACCCTGTTGAACCTCCAATTTCAAAACAAATCCAATCAAACTTGAAAAATAACATGTTTATAGATGGAGTATATTTTTGTTTATTGTTTTCAGAAGCTTCCTACCCTGTTTTCAGTTGCTAAATTTCCTTTTATTTAGTTGGTTTTAAAACTCATAAGAGGATTTATTTCACAAATATCTGAAAGTTTCAAATAACATTTTCAAAATGATTAAAAAATTTCATATTTTTGTGAAATATCCCTATGCATGAAATATTAATCCAAATTAATTTAAGATAACATAGATCATGAATTTGTGGGATGGTTGAAAATTTATAACCTCTTCAATATCCATATTCTAGGATTTAACTTTGAAAATTTTAGGTTAACTATATATGTACAGACACATCAGTGTACATCCTATATATGTACAGACACACCAGTGTACATCCTACATATGTACAGACACACCAGTGTACATTATTAGTTAGTACAAACAGTAATCCTCAAACTCAGCATAAACTCGCAAAAAAATGCAAGAACATTACCTTAAAATTCTGTCTTTTTAAGGATTTGTACCATTATTTACCCTTCTTTCTTATAATTACAGAACCTGATATAATAGAAGCTACAGCATTGTATGATTTTGAGGGAAGAACAGATCGTGAGTTATCGTTTAAGAAAGGTGATATACTGGTTATCTATCAACAAGTCTCTAGTGACTGGTGGGAAGGAGCATTTCAAGGAAAAGAAGGATTGATTCCTGATAAATATGTTACTTGGAAACATTCAAGGTAAGATTCAGTATCATGAAATTTTAGTCTTTAAGACTAGCTGGCCTTCTGCTTTAAATCTTGTATTATCTAGCAGACAACAATCCAACTGAAATATTCTGATGCAATTGGTAAGGGATAATTTAATTGTTTGATTTAATGTAATTAAAATACTGGTATGAAGTGTATGTTAAAAGCTATCTAGAATTAGTAATGAAATGTTAATTGTTAAACTCACTATTATGAGGAAGGTAATATATGATAAGGAAGCAGTTGATAATGTTTGGTATCTAAGTATTTATCCCATGTGTATTTTCAGTAGTGAAGAGCAGAAGAGTTTTAGTTCAGAAGATGATAAGTCTTCAATATCATCCCACGGTGGTCTGGGAAAAGTCACACGTCAGCTGAGTGATGACAGCAGTGTAGGCAAACCAGAGAAAACTGTGCTGCCCCCTACAATTGAGGAGGTACGAGAGACTGATATTATAGATACAACCACCCCTTCTCCTCCTCCAACACCACGGAGCAGCACACTCGGATCTAAAGTCACCAGCTCTTCAAGTTTAGGTCCGTCATCACCAACAGCAGAGACACCAGAAATAAAGCGGATGACAACATCCACAGATACAAGTGCTGATGATCTTTCGTTGGATATTGATAATGCTTTAGCTGAAGTTATGGATGGTTTAAAATCCTTGGAAATGCAACAGATATCAGATAAGCGAATGAGTTTACCAGTGATCAAAACAAAACAGACTCCTAAACATACTCCAGATTTGGTGCTCGATCTCCCGGAGGATTCTAATTCTCCCACCTCGCAGGACAATAGTAGTGGACCAGACAGTCCAAATACCAGTGCTGCCGAAAATTTTGCAAAAAATGATCAAGGAACTTTGAAAAAAGCTAGCTCAATGCCGAGGAATATGGAACCTCGTACTCTTGTAACTCATGAAACTTTGAAGGACAATTCACCTCCAACTCTCCCCAAAGTTCCCATCTTTTCTTCTTCCTCGTCAATCAAACGCTCTCCACATGTCTTACCAGGAATGAGAGCTAAATCAATGACTTCTGAGGGATCACCTCCTACTGTCCCCCAATTGAAATCAAGTACTTTGCCGCCCCCTGTTGCTGAGAAACCCAAATTAAAACTAAAACCACAAGTAATGGAAAAACCTCGCATGTCAGAACCACCACGCAAATTTACAGAAGTTTCTGCTCAAGATGGCTCAAAACAGTGATCTTTCTCAAACTCTACACTTTTATCTTACTAAATCTTAGATTACATGGTTTTGAAAGAACTAAGCCATTAGTCTGTTTGCCAAAAGTTAAAATGGTTCCAGGTATTAAAGTATGAGTGAGATACAGAGAGAAAATAACATTTTGAATGATAGAATTTAAGAATTTGTAGGTCTCTGAAAATTTGCTGAAAGGATTGACAGAGTGTGAAATGATATGAAATTACAAGTGTCATATTTTACATGTGTTTTAGATACCTTGCATTATGACTGTAAAAAATATTATTCAGGAGCAAAATTCTCATCAAAGTTAAGAAATGTTTAAAGCGAGTAGCAGGTATATAGATGTTTTCCTAGATTAGGTACTAATTTATTTTATTTACATATATTTGTAATCCTTTTTCATGATTCATTTTTGCTTCTATGAACTGTGTGCTATTATGAGACACTTTAAGAATTGAATTACTATACAGGTTTTGATTGATTTGTAAGAAACTGCATGGATTTGAGTTATGGTCATTTTTGACAAAGTTTCTGAAGCAATCTGGAAGTCTCTCACTTTTCTGTATACTTTCTATCAAAGATGAAGTTGTAATTTTTTGGAACTTTTTGGGAAATTCTAAGAATCTTAGATATGTACTAACTGCATTAATTACAGAACGATGTTGAAATATTATTTCTATAATTTCTAGCCTTGATTTTAGAAGAAAAACAGCATGACAGATTGCTTAGAATTATGTTTTGATGAAAACCAATAAAACAGTATTTTAGCCTCTGCTGTTAAGAATTCAAAGTAATGATCTTTAATTGAAATATTATATTATTATTTAAGTTTCCTTTAATATCCAATATGCTATATAGGGTTCATTATAATATATATAAGTTAGTAAAGTAACTGTTAACAAAGTAAGGATATAGAAATGAGTATATGTGAGATTGATACATTTCATTTTTATACCATCAAAGCTCAAACCATTCAAAATTCTCATGCAAATTATAGTCTTCCGAATAATTCTGCCTTGTCATAGAATATTTTTAAATCTGATTTTCTATATTTGTGCTTCATTTGTATAGAAAAATTGTAGAGTATTTATATAACAAAAAGGTACCTCAAATTAAATTTTGCTCTTAATGTCTCAAAAAACTATGGAGCTCAATTTTTTGGGGATTTTGTAAGGAAACCATTAAAATAACAGTCTTCCTGCTTACATTGAATCAGAATTTTTTAACAGCCAACATGAGGACATTTAGTGCTTTGAAAATGGAACAACCTTCACTCAAACTGGAGGTATGATGTGCTATTTGATTGTTATTTTAGAATTTGGGAAAGTATTTTGTATGTAGTGGATTCAGCTTATTTTTATTGAAAAGGGGTCAAAGCGTGAAAATATCATGCATTCTAATTGTAAAAAGAAAATTGTAAATAAAATTGACCCCTTTTATTCTAATGGTATTGTTTTGAGGACCCAAGAAATAAACTTTAAGTTAAGAAAATCAGGAAGTGTATTTCAACCTGTTTCTCTTGCTATTGTTGTTCTACAATTTTAAAAAAAGTACCATAATTTTAGAAATCTTGAATTAAACTGGTTTCAGTATCCAGGTTTAAGATTTCAAAATATTGGAACCTTGGGCTGGTAGACTAAGTTACTGAGTGTGGCTGAGTCGTTAATAGATCTGATCTAATTAATAAGATTAATTAATTATGTATTTTATTTGTACAGTCTTCATTTTAATCTCTTATTTTATATAACTTTAAAAAATAATAATAAAATATGATTAAATGAAATTTGTATTTTTTTTCATTCCTACAACTGAATAATTCTGTCTTTCTTTAAGTCACACAAATGCTATAACTATGGTCTAAATTCATGGCTGATGTAGGTAATCACTGCCAAATAGATTCATATGTTTACATCTTCAGATTCATGTGTTTAGTCCATCAAGGATTATTCATTCATGTATTCACATACTCACAAGATTATACATCCATGTGTTTACAGTCTTGCATGATTATACATTCATGTGTTTAGTCCATCAATGATTATTCATTCATGTATTCACATCCTCACAAGATTATACATTCATGTGTTTACATTCTTGCATGATTATACATCCATGTGTTTACATTCTTGCATGATTATACATTCATGTGTTTAGTCCATCCATGATTATTCATTCATGTATTCACATCCTCACATGATTATACATCCATGTGTTTACATTCTCACATTATTATACATTCATGTGTTTACATTCTCACATTATTATACATTCATGTGTTTAGTCCCTCAGTGATTATTCATTCATGTATTCACATCCACACAAGATTATACATCCATGTGTTTACATTCTCACATAATTATACAATATACATCCATGTGTTTACATTCTCACATGATCATACATCCATGTGTTTACATTCTCACATGATTATACATCCATGTGTTTACATTCTCACATTATTATACATCCATGTGTTTACATTCTCACATTATTATACATTCATGTGTTTACTACATCAATGATTATTCATTCATGTATTCACATCCTCACAAGATTATACATCCATGTGTTAACATTCTCACATTATTATACATCCATGTGTTTACATTCTCACATTATTATACATTCATGTGTTTACTACATCAATGATTATTCATTCATGTATTCACATCCTCACAAGATTATACATCCATGTGTTTACATTCACACATGATTATACATCCATGTGTTAATATTCTCACATTATTATACATTCATGTGTTTAGTCCATCAATGATTATTCATTCATGTATTCACATCCTCACAAGATTATACATCCATGTGTTTACATTCTTGCATGATTATACATCCATGTGTTAACATTCTCACATTATTATACATTCATGTGTTTACATTCTCACATTATTATACATTCATGTGTTTACATTCTCACATGATTATACGTCCATATGTTTACATTCTCACATTATTATACTTTCATGTGTTTAGTCCATCAATGATTTTTCATTCATGTATTCACATCCTCACAAGATTATACATTTATGTGTTTACATTCTTGCATGATTATACATCCATGTATTAACATTCTCACATTATTATACATTCATGTGTTTACATTCTCACATGATTATACATCCATGTGTTTACATTCTCACATTATTATACATTCATGTGTTTAGTCCATCAATGATTATTCATTCATGTATTCACATCCTCACAAGATTATACATCAATGTTTTTACATCCTTGCATGATTATACATCCATGCGTTAACATTCTCACATGATTATTCATTCATGTATTCACATTCTCACAAGATTATACATCAATGTTTTTACATCCTTGCATGATTATACATCCATGTGTTAACATTCTCACATGATTATTCATTCATGTATTCACATTCTCACAAGATTATACATTAATGTGTTTACATTCTTCATGATTATACATCCATGTGTTTACATTCTCACATTATTATACATTCATGTGTTTAGTCCCTCAATGATTATTCATTCATGTATTCACATCCTCACAAGATTATACATTTATGTGTTTACATTCTCACATGATTATACATCCTTGTGTTTACATTCTCACATTATTATACATTCATGTGTTTAGTCCCTCAATGATTATTCATTCACGTATTCACATCCTCACAATATTATACATTTATGTGTTCACATTCTCACATGATTATACATCCATGTGCTTCCATTCTCACATTATTATACATTCATGTGTTTAGTCCCTCAATGATTATTCATTCATGTATTCACATCCTCACAAGATTATACATTTATGTGTTTACATTCTCACATGATTATACATTCTGTGTTTACATTCTCACATTATCATACATTCATGTGTTTAGTCCATCAATGACTATTCATTCATGTATTCACATCCTCACAAGATTATACATTTATGTGTTTACATTCTTGCATGATTATACATCCATGTAACATTCTCACATTATTATACATTCATTTGTTTACATTCTCACGTGATTATACATTCATGTGTTTACATTCTCACATTATAATACATTTATGTGTTTAAATTCTCACATGATTATTCGTCCATGTGTTTACATTCTCACATTATTATACATTCATGTGTTTAGTCCCTCAATAATTATTCATTCATATGTATACACCCTTAATGATTTTATATTTTAGATGATTATCCATTGATTTGTTTAGTCCCTCAGATTGTTATACATACTTGTGTTTACTCACTTATATCTTGATAGATGCAAATGTTTACACACACATATCTTGATATATTCATACATGTATATATATTGTTTATACAGTTATGTGTTTAAACTCAATGACCTCACCTCCTATATATGCCGTTTATTTTCAAAATTATTATGAATTCATGAGTTTAGTCCCTTGAATGATTATACTTTCTACAATGATTTTTCATCCCCACATGATGATACATCAATGTGTTTACATTCTTTGACGATTATATGTATGTGTGTACATCCTCACATGTTTTCATTTATGTGTGTACATTCCAAGATAATTATAAGTTCATGTGTTTACATTCAAATGTGATCATACAGTATGTATTTGTGTGTTTCTTTTCTCACATGATTATACATTAATATGTTTACATTCCCACATGATTATATATGTACATTCATGATTACATTCTCACATGATTAAACATTGAGGTGTTTATTTTCACAGATGGCTATACAACTGTGTGTTTAGACCCTGAAATGATTGTACATTCATGTGTTTAGTCACTCAAATGATTATACATTCATGTTTTTAGTCCCTCAAATGATTATACATTCGTGTGTTTATATTCTCACATGATTATACATCTGTGGATGATAATACATTCATGTTTGTGTTAGTCCCTAAAATGGTTATACATGCATGAGTTTAGTCCCTCAAATGATCATAAATTGATTTGTTTACATTCTCACATGATTATACATCCATGTGTTTAGTCACTTGGATAATTATACATTCATGTTTCAGAGGTAGTCAGTAAAAATAAAATAAAAATACCAGATCATGGTTTATTTACAAAATATTCTTACAATCAAAACAAAAATAGAATATAATTGTCTAATGTCAAATTTATACAAATTAAGAAATGACTAAATTAATGAGTTTCCACAAACTACCTATCATCAAAACTCTGGAAACATAAACTAGTTAGTGTATGTTATCCTCTGATTAAGTAAGTAGATAAAATACTCTGTGGAAAGTTTTTAATTTGTCTAATTTTGTAACATGTTTACAGAAGGTATATCTAGACCAAATTCTATTATTTCTTCTTTCTAGCTTTCCTTAACTTTTTTGGTCAACATTCATTCAAGAGACAAGATTTGTAATAACAATGAAGTAACATTAAGACAAAGGTATATTGTTATAACTTTATTATAACACAAAGTCCCATGTTTTCTCTGGATCAATTTTCAACATTTCATAACTGACTAAAAAAAACTCTGTTCTACTCAATTACAGAACGCTTGAAATTACCTTTCAAAAAACTAGATCAACATCCCATTTTCAAAGATAAGTCATAATTTGCAATATATATATAATAAATTTGGAAAGTGCTTGGTTAAATATGATAAAATTCATAAGCAATGATAATTATTTCAATACAACATATGAGGGAATGATGATGATGGCAATATTGCATTAATGTTAATATATAGGAAAAGAGTTTTTATTTGCTTTTTTTTTGTGCTGCTAAAAATCTCACTGTCTGCTAACAGCAGATATACTTTAATTATTGAATGAAAAAACTGTACTAAGATGAAGGTGGGTAAGCTATATGAAATTTGCAAAAACCAATGAGAATTGACAAGGTGATCAGATGTCTAGAAGTGAGGACACCATTTCTAGCTAGCCTTCCACATTGATAACTATTCATAATGTATTCAAAACCAAGAATAAAGATTTTTCTGTTAGATTCTGAAGTGAAGAAGGACATAGACAATGATATTATAATGAGGCACTAAATGATGAAATGGGTGGAATTTTTACAATAAAATACATCTATATACATGATGATATTATATACACAGTTAAATAAAATTCAAGTTATATTGCCCTGGAAAATTGAGTCAAGAGGCTTCTGGATACCTGGCAAAAGGGGCAAAATAATGCTCATAATTTGGCAAACCTGCAAATTTCGGTTTGTCACAATGATATAATATGTAAGAAAAAATTACAGAAGTTAATTAAGAATGAAGTAGCTCGGAGATAAAGAGTTAAAATTCAGGGCAATATAAACTGAGAATTATTTGTAACCTTACAAATAAGTGAGCAATATTTACATATAAGTACAGAAGGTAAAATGACCATTATCGTAAAATAATTGTAATAAATTAATTTCTAATCTACCCATTTACAAAATATTCAAATGTAAATTTTAGGATAAAATTAATCAAGATCTTATGAAATGTACTTAATTTATGTCCAAATATTTCTAAAAGATACAGATATTTATGTATGGGGAAAGCAACGTTTAAAATCTTCAACTAAAAATGCTTATTTGCACGAGATAAGCAACCAATAAAATATGTCTGATTAAAAATTAGAATTATTTCAATACATTACTAAGGAATTTAAGAGCCAATTAAAATTTTCACATGTTTAAAAGCACATCAAAGTTTCGTACTAAACATAGGTAGTTTTACATCAAAAATAGGTAAACTTTTCAGTAAATGAAAAAACCAAATTACAATTCAATTTATCTACACTTTATACAGAGTTTATTAATACCAATATGGTAAATGTATTTTGACAATTTGTTCAAGTACTATCACAACTTTAAACTATTGTACTTTGAAATTTGTAATTTCAATTTTGAAAATGCACAGTTTAATTCATATTCAAAAAATGTACATATATAAAAAATGTAGTTTTCATATATAAAAAATGTAGTTTTCATATATAAAAAATGTACCGTTTTCATAATCAAAAGAACAACTAAATATACATGAACAACTTTCAATTTAGAAAATGTACAACTTCCAATATTGAAATTGTAGAAACATTTTAGAATGCACAGATTTCTTTTTTGTGAAAGAACATCTTTCAATTTTGAAAATATACAACTTTTAATTATGAAAAAATACAATGTTTGAATTTCGAAAATGTACAACTTTAAAATTTGAAATGGTAGGTTTCTTAGTTAAGTATATTGGAAGAAACGTTACTTATCACAATGATATTAAGATAAGGAAGTTCTATTGGGTGGGTTTATCACAGGGTAACTAACTTGTTACCAATATAAATAGAAAATATCTTCAAACATTTAGTGCATTCATGCACGTACCAGGACATTTAAAACACACCAATAGTATACTGTACTTTATTTTTGCGTAGTTTAAGTAGTAATGCAAGTGAGAAAACAGACCGCTGTTTATAATTTGAATCAAGTCTGGATATGGAAATATCTTGGGTATATTATAAGAAAATACAATAAAGCAATAACTTTTACGTTTAAGGATTAAATCGATAAATTATATTTGAAGCTTGCTACAAGTACAGGTTTTCTAAATATTGTATGAACTGACAAAATATTCCAAATAATGCATTTCATTCTTATTTCAAAACTAATAGCTTAATATTGCTCATTAAAAACAAACAAATAAATGCACCAATCTGTTAAATAAATAATCTTTTTTTTGCCAAGGAGATTCAAAAGAATCATTCCTTTGTTTTAGGCTTTTTAGTTTTTGATGTTTTCCCTAATGAGATCTTTCGCTTGGTTCCACGAGCCCCAGCTAATAATGATGCTGCAGTGAGAGAAGCTCTCTTATCTTCAGATTTTGACTTTTCTTTCTTTTTCATAAGAATTTTGCTTCCAAAAGGTGATTTCTTCAAGGTGCTTTTATTCATTTTGGGACTAGTTTTGGCTGACTTTGGTGGTGATTTCTGTGATTTTGTAGAACTTTTCTGAACTTCCATCAAAAAGTCTTGGTAAGACTGTATTGATAGCTTTTTGTTTTTGCTGGGCATAAGAACTGATTTAGACTTCTTTGGAGAGTCCTTTTTAGGACTAGAGGACTTCACTGGAGAAGTATTGCTGTTTTTCTTTGAGGGACTGCCTTCAACTTTTCTAGGAGTAGTTTGAGTCTTTTTTGGAGAAGTTGGTGCTGTATTTTCAGACATACTTTTCTTTGACGAGGAAGATTCCAGAGATTTCTTCAGTGATTTGTCAGTGACTTTCTTAGATGGACTTCCCGAGGGTGTACCTAAAATACTTTTTTGTACTTTACCCGAAGAACCAGGAGTCTTTTTTGCTGAACTGCATTCAATAATTTTAATAGGAAGAACTGATTTGTTCTGTTTGACAGGTGAGGAGGATCTTGATGAATTCTTTATTTTAATTCCACCTTGGGAACAAGAAGAAGCCTTTTTAGGTGAACCACTTTTCTTTGATTCAGATTCAAGTTTATCTTTAACATTTGGAGATTTGATTGGATTGACACTTAGTGGTAACTTTAAAATTGAGCTAGAATGCTTGTTTACTGGTGACTTGTGAACTGCTGATGTCTTACAAGGTGAAACATTAACTATTGTTGCATTAGCATCTGATGATTTGCTTTTCTGCTTTTCGGGTGACTTAGTAAGTAGAGGACTCATGGAATCACCACCAGGATGAAAATGAAGATTTGTGTTTCTGACCCATTTCATTGGAGAGTTTCCTGGAAGTGTTGCACTTTTTTTTAATGAGCTTGGTGATACTTCAACAATTTTTCCAAAATACTTTGCAAGACCTTGACTAATCGACAAAGACCTTTGCCTCAAAGGAGAATCATCTAACTTTTTAAGAACTGTTACAGATGCTGATCTCTCTCTTAACATGCTTCCTGATTCAGATTCAGATTTCTGCAATTCATCTGGTTTAGGTTTAGACTCTCTTCGTGCTGGAAGATCTTCTGGTTGCCAAACCATGTTTATTTCTAATCCTTTTGGCATCTTTAATTTCTTCTTGGCTGGCTCTTCAGGGCTTATTGAGTTAGGCTTGGTTAGTGGGGGAGACATGACAGTTTGAGATTTTGTGTTACCAATATTGGGGTGTTTTCTCATTAGAATTTTGGGTCTTATATAGGATGCAATGTCCAGCTTATCTCTTGGACTGGTCAGGGTTTCAGTTGACTGCTGGGCAACTTTGGGAGCATCTTTCTCTTTTACATTTTTCAAATCTTTTATAATCTGTTTCACAGGTGATTTTTTGAGGATGTTGACAGCACGGGACTTGTCCTCAGAATGTTCTTTTGGAGACATCCTACCAGGCTCTTTTTCCCTTATAGGTATATTTTTGCCCTCAGTTACCCTTTGACAGATAGCACTCAAAGGTGTGTCATCATCATCACTGCTTGTATCGATACCAGAAGTAGATGATTCTCCTTTACCAGGTTTTGACAGTTTGGTCGTAGCTTCTGCATCAGTCAACTTACCATCTACACTATTCCTCTGCCTCAGATTACACTTGCTGTCTAAAGGTTTCCATTCCATATCTATTGCCAGCTTCTTTGGTACAGCTACTTTACCAAGCATGACTGCTGGTATGAAAGCTGATTCCTTCATGTCAATCTGCAGACATTTTGGAATCTTCACAGCAGGAACAGGTTTATCATCAACTCCTCTTAAGGAATAATTAAGCTTTTTAGCTGGAAACTTCCTTCGATACTTTTTGATAATTTCTTTGCTACAATCCTTCTTTTTATTGCCTAGATTTGCATTCTTCTTTGCAGACAATGAATTGTTTATTTTTGAATCTTTCCTTGGTCTGCCAATCTTTTTCTTTATTTTAACAGGAGTTTTGTCACCTATGAAAGACTTTTTGGGGGAGTCTTTATCCTTAGACTTTAAGGCTTTGCTCTTGCATTTACAGAGATATCTCTCACATTTTACACAAGGTTCCTCTTCTGGTGAAAGACATTTGTAGGATTCATCAGATGATCCTGTTCTAATGGAAATTGAATCATCAGAAGTGAGATTGTCAATATCATTATATAGATCACGTCGTGACTTGTGAGTAGAGCCTGATGATGGCTTGAAATTGTCTTTAGGGATGTCAATGGACAATGGTTTTGTCTTAGCACTATGAGTGGATGAAGGTGGGGACAGAGATGGTGGGGGTAAATATTCCTGGTCTCTTTCCAATTGTTGTATGCTGACTCGACAGGGTGACAAGAAAACAGGAGCTGCCTTCTGATTAAGCTGATCTTTGATGGGAGATGAGAAATGCTTTAGCTGCAAATTTGTCATCTGATGATTTGTAGATTTTGCTTGCAAATTTGGAATCTGAAGATTTGGAGATTTAGTTTTCTGAAATTTCTGCTGATAATCAGACAATTCTGTTAGTAAAGATTTGTACAATGAAAGCTTCAACTGAGACATTTCAGCATTTGCATCCTCAGATAGGACATTAGTTAATGTCAGGGAACTTTTCTTCCCTATTGGTTCTTCTTTCTTTCTTAATCCAAGCAAACGATCAATTCCAGGTCCAAGCAAAACTGGCAGTCCATTTGGAAAGGAACAAGGTTGGTTGGAAGACATTTGCTTCTGTTTCTGCAATAGTTGGAATGTCTTTCTTTGAAGAGCCCTCCAATTAAGAGGCACTTTAGGAGGATTTGGGTTGGCTTTCCAATGTTTGAAATCATTCATTGCTAATCTCTTCAATGGAACCTTACATCTTGGCAATGATTTTTTTAACATTCGACTTCCCTTGTTTAATCCAGTGCGAATGTAATCATAAGATAACTCACGTTCAGATTTAGTAAATTTATACGTATGATTAAACTGTCTGATACGTTTCCGTGTCAATTTAAACGTAACTGGTATAGAAGCATTCCGAACACGTAACTTTTCTGAGAAACTTGAGTCTTTAACAGGAGTTCGACAAAATGATTCAGCGTTTGTCAGCACTTTTGTATGAACAACAGGCTCAGAAGCCATACACTTTTGGACTTTTTGTCCAAGAGGAGATGCAACGTCTATGAATAGAAGGGACAGAGTTTTGGAGGGTTTTTGGGGCTCATCATCAGAACTACTATTACTTATAACACTTTCAGCATCACTATTATCACGCGGGCAAAGATACGACAAACGTCTTTTACAAGCACTAGATTCACCATCACGACTAAGTTGAGAAATTAATGACTTGGGCGTGCGTGGAGTCCCTGGTGATTTTGGAGTCACCGGCTCGGCAAATTTATCAACATCCAAATCTATTTCTGTGTTTTTACGTTTTTCACGAATTCTTATAGCTTTTTGGACTGGTAATAAATCTAATCCTTGCATGTAATCTTCTCGTGAATGGGAGATGACTACACCAGTATCTGTAGGCAATAATGGACTCAACTGTGGACATGCTGAGCTTTCTGTTGCTGGTGATTTAGATGGAGATCTAATGGAACGTAGCTCTGGTGGTCGAAAGGAACATTGATTTTGATGTAATCGGAGTTCCTCTTTGCCTCCAAATTCTTCAGAACAGAAGAAACACAGGTAAATCTCAATAAAAGATTTGTTGTAGCCTGAAAAGAAAAGACAATCACTTTAATTTGCTGAAAAGTAAAATCATCCTAAAGAAGTTTGAAAAATTCCACAAGGCTAGTCAGAAATATGACCTGACACGCTGTTACTCCCTACAGAACATCAGGCAAAAATTTCATACAATTGAAGGTAAGTTAATCTGTATGATCTACTATACATGAACAATCTGTCAATACACTTATATCAGAGACAGCAAGTTTTATAGTTGTATTAGAAACATGAGAAAAGGTAAAGATTTAAATCCTACCTTGAGTAGAGAGTATATCTGGTAAAATATCTAGTCCCAATCTACTACCCTAAAATACAGAAACCTAAATTACTCTTGAGATAACATCACCTCATATAATGGTCCCAACAGTTGCTGTTGCTGATTATTTAGATGGAGAGTTTGATTAAATTGGGTGAAACTTATTCGAAGCCATCCTCTTGACATGAAAGTTATTATTTTATTTCAGTTACAAAAAGTTCTTTTTTAAATGATGGGTTGAATCCAAGAATCCAGACTATTTCTTCAAAAAATAAGTACCTTTTTAAGACCATTGGACTGTAACTGTGAGAGAGTAGCTAGAGCTGATTTCCAATTAATATTATTATTATCTGTCAGTAGTTCTTCCTGTCCAAGATGTCGGTAACAATTTCGTACCATTAATCTTAACAGATCAGTTGTTATATTCTAGAAGTAGAAAGAGAAAGAATAATGTAAACATTCATAACAGTATTATAACATACAACTTAATGTTAGGGGTGATGATTTCCCACTTCACAAACGAGTGAAGTCTATTGATAAATTGTGATCATTATAATGAAAAAAATAATAAGAAAATAATGGGTTTGATCTTTTGATTGTTGCATATTTGTGATTAATACTTTTCAGCTTAACAAAGTTCATCAGCTGAAATGGATATAACCTCAGTAATACATTTCTTTGTCTAAATCATTTATTTCTTTTTCCATGAATTTCTGTTTGATTTGAACCTTTCTGATTTTTTGTTGTGTTTTTCTCAATCAACAAATTTCAATGTCTTTTCCATTGAAAATCACCACAGTAACACCTCTTCTAATGTATCAAGTAGAAAAAAAAGTAGACACTTCAATCAAATGACAAAATTTAACCATCTTCGTCAAGCAAAATCAGTAAAATGTCACAAAAGTGGCACGTGACACATTCACTCTGAAATTTTTAACTCATTATTAAATTAAATCAATATAAGTTGATTTTCAGACAAACAATCTGAGCTCACCTCTTTACAGTTATTCTGTGCTGGTGAGGGAGCAAGAGAAGAGTAGTTAGCTGTCCACAAATCAGAGGTTTTACTGTTGTCTTTATTTGGGGAGCTGTTTGTTGCCAACTGCATCAATCCTGGTACTACTGCCTTTAATTGTCCCTGAAAATAGGACAAAATAATATCGGTGAAGTTACATGTATGACAGATGTACACTGGCTACTGCCACTGAAGGAACTTGAATTGAGGTAATTCGCATGACAATCAATATGGGTTTCCTTATTTTCATTTATGAAAATGAAAATGTTAATACTTAATTGAATAGAAAGTAGAGGTTTTCTAATGACTTGGGAAACACAAGTTCATCTTACATGTCCATAATTAATTCATAATTAGCTCAATTAGAAGAGAATTACAATTTGTTTATCCAGACCATACATACATGGACATTTATGATTAGTAAAACTCAAAAATTATATGCAATAAGAACATATTAATGATAATTGTGATTAAGAATACATTGTAATATATTAGAAACACCAATAAATAAAATAGTTTGATTAATTTTACAATTGAAAAATATGGAAACTCATCTTTAACGAAATAATTATTGATAATCAAGTTAGATTTTATGTGCAATCTGTGTATTAAGTAAACAGGAAATGTACTACAGTGTACAATAAGGACAATTTTGCCAGGACAATTGAGAAAAACAAGACAGGAAGGAAAACCAATTATTACCTGTGTTAGTTTATTTATAGGTAGAGCAGGTAAACGAGGTGCCTGGGCTGCTGAAGTTGGCTGGTTATTTTTATTTACATCCCTCATATTTCTTGTGCTGCTCTAAAAATATACAATATAAACATTTAGTTGTTGCATATAAAAGCATCAATACCATTTAGAATATGCCACACTTTATGGACCGCATTATGAGAGCAATATACCAGCTAGTTATGTCACACGGTTTCAACAAGACTTCACAATTTTTTTACAGTGATTGCAAGGAGGTTTTCTAAATTTTGTATGTGTATCAGGGACACTGAAAGCACCAATTTGTGGTTCCTGCAAAACAATCTGTTTGAGTGTAGATAATAGAACAAAAATTCAAATATTTTTTTGAGTAAGTTCCTACACTTAACACAATAAAACCTTGATGTAAACCAGTGTTACATAAAAAGTATACAACATAAAGTGTTATTTTCCTTGTATTTGTCAACCATTAACTGTGTATAAAACAGTACATAAATCATTAAGATGTTAATGACAACAGCATTATAACTTCTAACCAAATCTTCACATATGATTTTTATATGTTTTTATGTCAGAATGCAACAAATCAATTGTCTTTTCAAAAAATTTTCTTGCAGGAAAACTCTTCAAGAAGCTCTATGGGAGGTCTGTGTCTATACACTTCAACAGAGCTGACATAATTTCAAATTTCAACCTCAATGTTTGTCCCCTCATTAAGTCAGTCCACTTATTTGTACTCAGAATGCTGGTGCTGTCGCTGGCTGTCTTATCTCTAAAGTCTGAGATTTGCAAAACAAAATATATCCAGCAAACTGTGTAGTTAGTTCGTGGTTTTGTATAATATTGATTGAAACAGAAATATATCATAACAGAAAAACAATATCTTCAAGGTCAATACCAGGTCAACAAGAAATAACAATATATTATATATATCAACCTTATTTATTATATAACTAATATATATTATTATATTATCACTTATTATATAAGCCATGAAAAAATATAGAGCTATCAAACAGCTACAATAATACATAGTACCTTTAACTTTCTGAATCAAATTAACAATATGAAATCAATGGTATCCAAAATTTTGGAAAACAACTGTTGAAACAGGTTTCTTGCAATGTATTCAAAAGCCAATTTTAGCATATACAACTCAAACACTTCAAACCAAGATTTTTTAACCTCCTGGCATTAAAAACAGGTTCTTTGTGCATTCTTTATGCTCTTCAAGAAATTTATTTCAGATTTCACGTATTGTTAAATATGCCTGCTTTTTCTCAGAGAGCAGGTGTTTTACACTAGACATTGAATGATGTAGGTAATATAAGAAAATCTTAATGAAAAAAAGTATTTTCAAATGAATCAAATTTTAACTATTTATGTCCACATAGAAAGAGGTGGGCATAAAAAATCATAGTGCTAAAATAAGGTGTTTAAAAGAATATTTTTCAGTGCTTATCAATTCTTTGATGCCAATAATATCAATAATAACCAGCCTTTAAAAAGATTCCTTTTACCTTTCTTAAACAAAAAGTTAAAATGGATAAGAAAGATTTTCAAATATCACTTTCCCCAATTAACTACTGCCATCACAAATACTAGTATTTACTAGTAAATTTGATACATTCAAGTAATTTTGAATTCAAGCGGAATTTTTCCACATGAACCATTTTTGCAATATTATTCACTATCAGCAAACTATCAAATAATAAATAAATGTTGAAAAAAAACTATTTCACAATAGTAATAATTTACAAAAAAACAAGGATATTTTCAACATAAACTACTCCGATTCTTGCAAAATACTTGAAGTCAGGTTTTTTTTTACTTAAAAAGGAATTAATTCTTATTATTACCTCCACTAAGACATGACAGATTAAATCAATGACAAAATGTTCATCAAATAAACAAAAACAAAAAAAATACACAACTACAAATTGATCGGAACTGTCAGAGATTATACAAGACTTTAAACAAAGAAAGTTCAAATGCACAATAAACCTTTAATATAACAATCAGTCTAGATTACAAATCTACTATAAATTAAATAATTAACAACAACTAGAGGTGTAACTTTAACCCTCTAGGCATTACATCATACAAGAGGTGACAGTGCATGCCTACCTTGAATTGGTTGGGGTGCAGTATAATAGTTTAACCCTATTGCAGTCCCACGCGGTTAAAATCTGCCATTCATTCACTGGGTTAAACTGAATATAGGTCAGCTATTTTTAGAACAGAATTCTGGGGTCTTTGTGCTCTTAAGAGTTCATTCACAGTGGAGGTCTGCTAGAGCTCTGTGGTCTACCAAAGACATGTCTTTTTTTGTTTTTACAAACAAATTATAGATGTGAAAGTGATAATCAATTGACAAATTAAAAAATTCATTCACTGATGCATAAATATGTTTTGCATACAGATATTCCAGGATATGACAATATCAATTGTTCTTGGTAAAATTAGAAACTTAGAGAGAAACTTATAATGCACTTATAACATGAAAATTATAAATTGTAAAAAAATTAATTAATATAATTTAATTGCATTTGGTCAAAAACAAAGAGTTAACCTTTTCAAGGAAATCAATATATGAAATTGGATCTCTACTCCATACCCTTCTTATACCCACATGTTTATATGTCATTTCAGCATTAGTTCATGTTTAAAAGATATAAAGTGAATTTCAGGCAATCATTTCCTAGCACTAAATTATGCACGAAAATGAGCTAATGAAGACAGACAACACCATGCTGTTTACAATGAATAAAATTCTTCCAGGACAGCAGCATTAACCTACTCTTTTCGATTTCCAACTTTCAAAGGATCGTTTACGTGTACAGCCTGCAGAAGAAGGGGCCTCAAGTATTGTTCCATATGAATGACTTGATGCGTTTCACATATCAGCCCCTCTGACTTGCATTACTGACACGGGGACAGGGTTGAAAAGACCAAACTCACCGAAGGTATTATCTCAACCTTATGTCAGGTTAGCAATCAAGCGTCAAACACATTGAGTCACTGAGGCTCTCTGCAGTAAACAAGTCTACATTCAGCTTTAGAAGTGAAGTAAACAAGTTTAAAATTCAGCTTTAAAAGAAGTGAAGTAATCAATCTAAAATTCAGCTTTGCAGTGTAAACTGTATAGGCCAGTCAAACACATTGAGTCACTGAGGCTCTCTGCTGTAAACAAGTCTACAATTCAGCTTTAGAAGTGAAGTAAACAAATTTAAAATTCAGCTTTAAAAGAAGTGAAGTAATCAATCTAAAATTCAGCTTTAGAAATGCAGTAAACGAGTCTAAAATTCAGCTTTAGAAGAGAAGTAAACAAGTCTATAATTCAGCTTTAGATGTGAAATAAACAATTAGTCCACAATTCAGCTTTAGAAGTGATGTTAATTATTCTACAATTCAGCTTTTCAAGTGAAGTAAGCAAGTCTAAAATTCAGCTTTAGAAATGAAGTAAACAAGTCCACATTTCAGCTTTAGAAGTGAAGTAAACATTTCAGCTTTGGAAGTGAAGTAAACAAGTCTACATTTCATCTTTAGAAGTGAAGTAAACATTTCAGCTTCAGAAGTGAAGTAAACAAGTCTACATTTCAGCTTTAGAAGTGAAGTAAAAATATACCGGTACCTAAAATAAAAAATTCAGCCAGGTGTTGATTTGATAAAGGATTCTATCAGCAATTGTGCAAGTTTTCAAGACATTCAAAATGCAACCAAACATAAACAAGGCGATGATTTTGAAGTTGTGATAAATTTTATCACGTTCACATTATAAACAATTTTCTAAAATCTCTAATTTTGTTTTTGAAACACAAAGAAATAAAATTTTATGTTTCATGAATATTGGTGGTGCAAGCCATTGGAAACACATTTTGGATGTCAATGTTTTTTTCCTCCACTGACTGGATAGCAGATGATTCACCATTCTGGCCCAGTGAAAAAAATGCAGTGTAAACTGTATAGGCCAGCCAGGGCAAGTATGGTCCAATTTTTTTGGAAGTGTAAACAACTATACTATCTCAAGACTGAGAATAGCATAAAATTCATCATCATTCAGAATTCCTGGATAGTTGCTGTAATCATTTTTATTCAACATGTTCAATATATGTACCAAGCAAATAATATTTATGTTGACTATCCAAATGAATTGTTAGAAGGCAAAACCCAAAAAGGCTGTCTTAATTGTCAACTTGGGCTTCACTATGCCACAAATGTGTCCTGCATAGCAATTAGTTAAAAAAATGTCATTAAAAAAACTAGTCTCTGACGCTCAGACCATACCAGTCTATGACAAAGATATAGTCTGGGAGTTTTCAATGAATTTTCTGTTACAATGCTTTCAACAAAGATAACAACAATTAAGCATATTCGATCTACAAATCTCAAACAACTTGTTTACATCAGAAACAAATTGGCAACCCACACAAGTTTTGTCAGTTTATATTTGATATTTTTTTATTCCTGTTTGTTATATAACTCATCAATTTTAAATTAAATCAATTTTTGAATTAAAATTCACTGAATTGTTTTATTTAATGTTTCCCATCACCAAAACAGATGTGTATTTACAAACAATCCAATTCAATGGTCACTGTAGACTCTGTCAATTACAAAGATTTTAAGTAAGCAACCAGTCTATGTCATCTGAGGGACTGGATGATAAAGGGAATCAAACAACTTGGTAGATTACAATGGACACAAAATGTCAGAAGAAAAAACGAAATTGTAATCTAATTTAATTTGATCTACAACTTTCCATTTCTTAACTGTTAATATTTCAAATTTCCACCAAACACTAAATAAAACAGTTTAGCAAACTTTTCCAAATATGGAGCTCAATAGACTTGTTTGACTTCAAGTATTGATTACCGGTATGAGAAAATTTTAAAATGCATTGCTTACATTATTAAACTGAGATAACAATTTTGTTTCTCTTGATATATTTGGGGTTTCACTATCCCACAATTATTCGTTGTTATCAAGAAATATTTCCACTTGACATGCCTTGATTAACTTAAAAAGTATGGAACTGCAGTGGAAAACTTGCTTGTTTCCAAAACTCTATTTATACTCTGTAAAAATTACTGTTTAAAATAAAACTAACTTGCTCATCATTTTCTAGATAACTTCAAGAGAATTTATTAAGCAATTACAACTGAGAAAGTTTTGTTTTTTGGTAATATAGACAGTTGTTTTGGTAAAAATGTTGCTGCTTATTACCTCAAATTTTCTCTTAAGAAACAATTCCATCTAATTTCAGGACGGCTTTTGATCAAACATGCTAGACATGTTTGTTATCAGAATGTTGTGGACCATTTAAACAGCAAGTTTACAGAAATATTTGCCTCTGGTACTACGCATCAAAATTCAATATAATTAAGGTACCCAATACACCCACGGTTATGTGGCATGATGATCGTAGTAAGCAAAAATTCATTTAGTTTGAAACAGAAAGAACTAAATAAACCGACATTTATTAAAACTTAGATGCACAGGGATGCTTTCTACCAAGATTGTACCAGGGCACCTTATCCCCTTAATCGAATAATAATACCCTCTAATATATTTTTTTTTTTTTATTACATCGGTCATACATTGTTATAAATGGTTTGAATGATTTCTTGTCAATTAATCACATTGCTCAATAACAAGGTCACATGACCTTCCATTTTTAAATGACAGTTGAACCTCCACGACTTCTGTCACCTTCATCCAAGATTTTTCATTCATAAACTTCTTATTTCAACTGATTTTATTATTCTACCCCAATAAACGGGGGGTGTCCGCTTTAAAAGATAGAGATTTATAAGTAAATATTGGCCATATTCCTGGTGTTTCGAAGGTTTCTGATAAACAAACAAGGTTGACCTACTTTCTCGCTTCGCGATTTTTCAATCAAAATTCGTCAAAAAGTAGTCAAAATACAACATTTGGCATCTTCCATAAAAGAGTTCAAATCGAATCTCACAGAAAAACTCCCAAAAATCTACTTAAATTCCACTGCTAAACCACAAAGCGATTTTTTGTTAATTTTGGATGTTCTTTGGCGCAGTTTTGAAAGATCGCCAACGTTTTCAGGACACTGAAATCCAACAAATGGCGTCAATATTGCTGCTAAGTCATACTTTACCGTTGTATATACATACCATTTTGCACGAGGAATCTTGTGCTTTCTTCACTTTACGAGCAAAAGTTCATTTTAGAGGCATATTTTTTATTTTACCATCGAATGTTGATAACTTCTTCCAGCAAAATGGCGGCCATTAAAGTCTTCCCTCTGTAACATCCGGGTATTTCTTGATGTGTTCTGTACAAGGTGTGGGCTATTTCAGAGCCATTCAGAGCAATTTTTGTCGACAGTTTTCAGAGTAAATTAATAAGTCTTACGTTCTGTCGATAGCGATAATAGCTCTGACATAAGCCATTTTACTAAAAATAGAATATAATAATAAGTAGCCTACAAAACCAATATTGGTTGGTTCATGATACAAACAAAATTGCTGAAAATTAATGTCCTCTGTGACCCACATTTTATTTGTAGCTAAAAGATAATTTTATCACTCAATAAATTAAAACTTTCGTGATTTTAAAAATGTTAATGTATTGTTTAAAGAAGAATTAAATTATTTATTTAGTCTCAGACCATGTCGAATTTGCAATTTTTAGGAATGTCTCAAATGTAGGCTTTTAAGGTGGGACACAGATTTTGGACAAACATAGCCTTATAGGCACTATCACTCCTAATAGAGGGACGAGGATCCTTCTCTATCAGCTAGTCACAGAAAAGTAGAGCGTAACACTCCAGTCATTTGATTCCTAAGAGAGAGAAAAGGGAGATAATAACCCTTCTGCTCCACCTTGAATTGTCATGCTCTGGATTCCCGCCTTGCTTTTTCTCCTGAAGACAATTATATAACCACGGAAATCACTGGGAGAATCAGGTTTTTTTAGC